GTGATTAGAGTTTTCCCCATAGAAATCAATGGAGAGTCCCCACAAAGATATGTGTGTATATGTGCTCAAATGTATGTGAAATGATCATCACCATAATCCATGTTTTCTGCAGCCCGTTGGATCAGCATGATGGGTTGTAATGTGTTTCTTCTGTTGAAACTTCTACTGATTGAAGGTCAGATTCTTTCATAACTAAAATTATAATAAAGGACCCAAAAATTTACATATTGACCAAATCTGTCAAAAGTCAGTCATATTATATGGGTCTTTCTTTAATTTTTACAGGACCCTTGTGTTACACTTGTTATACATGCCAAAGACACAACTACTACATTTTAGATTCAGACAAATCTGATTATTTACAGTATGTATGTCTTTGATAATAATGTATATCCATCAGCCTGTCAGTTCAAAGATGGACTTGCAAAAGCCTTTCCTCATCTTGTCAGTTCAGGTTTATATTTTTCTATTTGTGATCATGTGTATTTGTTTCTCTCTGCCTGTGTGACTTTTTTTTTTACAGAGTTTCACAGCCACTGTTCATGCTTTTCACATCAGTACTATTTTGTAAACATAAACCTGAACTGGACTGACGCCCAGGCTTACTGCAGAGAGAACTACACTGACTTGGCTACCATTGACAATATGAAGGAGATGAAAAGACTAACTGAGTCTGTAGGCTCAGATTATACTGGAGAGGCTTGGATAGGACTGATGAAAGGAACATCATGGAGATGGCAGTGGTCCTCAGGAGAAGGAGACACAGGGTACACCAACTGGTATACGGGTGCAACGTACAACCAGAATAATGGCCATTACTGTACTGCGATGCGAGACGACGGTAGATGGAATAATATTGATTGTTCATATCACAGTATGACGGGGTATTTCATCTGTTATACTGGTGAGTAACATTAACCAGTTCTTTTCTGACAAATGGAACATGCCTTTGAAAGTATACTATCCAGCCATGACTTACCCCATAGTAGCTTTGACAGGTAAAAAGGACTACAGACTAAATGACAGTACATTCTGTTGTAGTGCAAGCATGCAGGATCTTTCAAAAAGGTTCAGTTTTAAAAGCTTTTTGAAAAAGACATTTGTGTTCTGCCAACATTTCTATAAGACAGCCACACAAGCAAATGTACATATACACAGCAAATGTGCCAGTGTTAAATTAACACTGCATGGTGTCTATATGTGTCCACACTATTCAGTGTTACCTTTAACACTTTACAGTGTGCAGTGAGTGTTGTTTTTACAATATTAATGTTTATTTACTGTTATAGTGTTCAATTTACAACCTAGAGTGTTGTCAAAGAGTCTCCACCTCCACATATCTGCCCCATTTTAATATGCGCACAAAACGTCATGAGGATCAGAAGAGCTATCTCAGATTTACCCACCATCATGAGAAAGAGTCTGACCAAATAGGATCTTACAGCTTTTTCTTGCTATAATGAAGCTGTGGTGGCTCGGTTCTGACTGATCTTGAAGATAGAGAGCTGTGGTTTTATAGTATCTTGTTTCTGAGTCAGAAGACAAACTCTCGGAGATGTGTATATATTTTAATGGTGTGGCAGTATGTTTGACTGCTTGTCTGGTCCTTGAATGATTAACATATGTGGAATGGTGTTAAGACAGCTGCGATACCCTTTTCTGTGCAGCTCCTGGTACCAGCCACTCCCCTGTAGACCATTAGTGCTGAATGTGTATTTGCATAGCATGACACAGTACTGTTTTTGACTTAATAGATTTTTTTTTTTTTTAATCCACCATGATTGTGATGAATAAGGCAAGACAGCAAAAACCAAAAATGGCTCTTGCATGCTAGCCAGGGACCAGGTGGGATGGTTTAACTAGAAAAGGCATTAGCTGGGAGAAGTATGCTATGGAAAAACCAATCATTTTGTTTCTTTTCTAATTCAGGGCTCCCTAGAAAAATCATTTGGAACTTATGTAGCTCTGCAATTGACATTTCTTTGCTTGTGCACATATACAGTATAAGAACTACACTGTTCAGACCAATCAGCATAATCAACCCAGCAAAACAAACAATGAAATGTGGTAAAGACTAATATCAGTGCCATACCATCCTCGATCGTGGTGGGTTTCTAAAAATTAAGCTTAATTAAAATCTTAATATTAAATGACCAAAGTGATTTGATTTGTTCCTCTATTGCAAGTTGTGACCTAAAGGCAATGAGGTCACCACCTATTATATCTGCTTTAGCAGAAACACACTCCTTCAACCATTAAGATAGCTCTCACCTTTTTTCAGCCCTGCTAAATAATTATGTTATGCAGTCTAACACAGTCCAGCTTTGTAATCTGTGTTTGGTGACTGGTGCCATACATTTCACACTTTTATACAACAACCAGTTCTCAGGCTAGCTTGAGCGGTTCTTTCTTTCTTATCCTGATCTTATTCATGCTTAAATAAATACATTTATAAGGAGTGTCTTTCAAAGGGCAGATACGGGCCACCCATTTTGTACTTGTGTGCCACCTATATCGGCTTGCAATTTGGGAAGAGGTGGAGACACATTGTCCTAACACTCTATGTTGTAAATTAAACACTATAAGAGTTAATAAACATTAACGCTGTAAAAACAACACTCACTGCACACTGAAAACTGTTAAAGGTAACACTGAATGGTGTGGACATATATAGACACCATGTAGTGTTAATTTAACACTGGCACATTTGCTGTGTACATATCGGGCTTAGGGGAATTAAAGAACAATGAATCAACTAGGACTGTCACCTGACTGAGTATAATGGATGTCAATTGCGGCCCCTCACTTAGATTCTTAGATTTAGGGAAAAATAACAGTTGTTGTGTATTTAATGGCGCAAGTCCTTTGCCAGCCTAAGAATCAACATTCTGACATGAGCAGTTAGGTTTTACCTTTGATGAACAATAATAAAAAAAAAACCTTAATTATGGAGTGTCATGCTAACCAACACGTTAAGAAGTGAGATTTATTTCGGAAGTGGTGGTGTATGGTGGCTGAGGGGGGGTATTTTATTTTTCTGGAGGCTGATAGTGGCTCAGCGGGTTAAGATGCTGCTGAAAGGTGGCAGAGTGATTATACTGCTGCACTGCATAACCCCCCCCCCAGGGACTGTCAGACTCTGCTTTTATAAAAAACTGTATGTTGCTTTGGATAAAACCGTCAGCTAAGCATTTTAGAAGTAAATGATTTCTGGGTTATTGTTGTTTCTTATGACATTTACAACAAATCCACAGATCTCACCTATAAAGACGGGATAAATGCTACCTGGAACTTCACCTTCATTAACCAACATATGAATTGGTCTGATGCTCAGAGCTACTGCAGACACAGCTACACAGACCTGGCCACTGTGAGGAATAAAGAAGATAATGACTTGATAAATGCAATGTTTCAGAAAGGCACTTTTGTGTGGATTGGCCTGTTCCGGGACACATGGGAATGGTCAGACCTGTCAAACTCCTCATTCCGTAACTGGAAAATTGGTCAAAATGATAATAAGAATAACGCATGTGCTTTAGCACAGGTCACCTGGCCTGGGACATGGGATATGACACCATGTGATGAAAAGCATCCATTCATATGCTATGATGGTGAGTAATGTAACTTTACTACAGTGGCTGATTCTCACTTTTGTCTAACAGCATTAATTTATATTACTTAAAAAATATACTACATCTAAAGTTATATTAAGTGTTATAAGTACACATAACACTGCACAGTTGCATCAGAAAGTTGTTTTGTCTTCACTGTTTTGTGAATTTCACTCCCTCTACCCTTCTGGTAATAAATTCCTTTCTCCAAATTCCCCCAAATGTCACATGACTTTCTCCTGTAGCCGGCTTTCTGACAATCATCTTACCTTCTACTCTAGATAACCTCATTCTGGTAAACAGAACCATGACCTGGAATGAAGCCCTGAATTACTGCAGAACGTACGATTCAGACCTGGTGTCTGTCCACAATGAGGAGATCCAGTACTGGGTCAGTAGGAGGGCTGAGAAGGCCTCCACTGATCATGTCTGGCTGGGGCTGCGCTTCTCCTGCTACCTGAACTTCTGGTTCTGGGTCAGTGCAGAAAATGTCTGCTACCAGAACTGGGCCCCAAACAACATATCCAACAGTAACTTGTGTGGAACCACAGGGGCAGTACAATCTAAAGACCCACATTACTGGGTCAGCCTGCCTGAGACTAAGGAACTCAACTTCATCTGCTCCAAATATCCAAGTAAGGCTGATCCACAAACACAGTACCTGCAGAATAAGTACATGCAGTGGCGGCTGGTGAAAAAAATTCTTGGTGGGGCTGACGTACCAATAGATTTCCCTTCCTAGTCCAGCAAGGGCGTAACTTTGGTTGGAACATTGGGGGGGTTGAGGTCTCCACCCATTACGGGGGAAGCATGATTACTGGGGGGGTTGTATTAGCTGGTTTTGATTTATTGGGGGGGGCTACAACCCCCCTATCCCCCCTGTAAGCATAAGCATTCAAATGAAGTCAGAAAATGACAAGAATTTCACAATCATAATTTAATTTCCTTCTCAAAATCAGCAGTTTCACAGATAAAGTAAATTAACAATTTACAACTACAGCTATTTCGGGCTTGTCGGGTCCCAGCTCCTTAACGTGGATTTTTTTCCACCATTTTCCTTCTCGCAAAAGGGTAATTCAATAATGATCTCACCGAATTTGGTGGAACCTGCCCCTCAACTGTCATCATCGCCATCATCTCTCTCTGACTGACTGACCTGAGAGCAATCCAAAACTTCCCCTTTTTTTCTGTAGCAGGGGCGAAATTTCCAGTGCCCCAAAACCATTTAATTCAGCGATGCTGATAGGCCAAATTTTTTATTATTTTCTCCTAGCAACCATGCACAATTGGCTATTTGGCTGCACTTCTGGGGCGCTTTGATGAGCGCCCAAAAAGAGAAATGATTGGTGGAAATCTGTCGGTGGAAATTCACTGTTGAATGAGTCAGTTGGTGGAAATGTTGTTTAAATAATTCAGATTGCATGTAGGCACACACTATTAAGTAAAACTGACATTGATAAAAAAATATATATATGTATTTTTATTTTTATATATTTTATATTCCCCCCACATCTGGGAGGGTGGCGCCCGAGCGCCCCCTATGGGCCAGTCACCACTGAGTACATGTAAAACTATAGAATTGCATCAGAAACTCGTTTGTCTTCCCTTTGTTTTGCTTGTGCATTTCACTCTCTCTACCCTTCTCATAGCTTTTTCCAAATTCCACGTTTTCCAAATGTGACTGCATTTTGTTTGTTAATGATGTGGCATTTAGAGTGATTTCCTAACAATAATAATGCACATTTATCCATATTTAGGAATCTAATTTGTCTTCTAAAATTGATTTGGGAGGTGAAAATTTATCATTCATCCTTATTCTATACATGCTTGTTCTATGCAGGTTCACAGGGGAACAAACCCTATCCTGAAAGCTCTGGTGTAACAGAACATGATACTTGTGATATGATATGCGTTATATAGAATGATTTGATTATATTTCGAAAAAAACAAAAAAGTTGATAGTAGGAGAGAGTGATGATTAGGGATACAGGGAATGTTCTTCTTTTTAAAGGAAAACATATATTTAAAAATGACTATTTGTAATCAAAATAATTTGACATAATTCAAGACACTAGTCAATAGGAGATCTTGCAGCACTGGATGTCATTTAAGAACACAGATACACCATTCTGTTACCTCCCCGGTAAACTGATTGCTTAAAACATAATCTAGGCTCAAGCTCTTATGAATTATCTACCTCACTGTATAACTCTTTTGACAAAAGCATCTACTAAATGAATGTTATACAATATACTATGTTACACATACTACTTAGGATCTTCTTCTTCCAACATTTTATGCAAAAATGCTCAGAAAATCAGAATGGCATTCAGAAATAGTAAACATGCTTACTTTCAGTATAGGATCAGATAAGCTAAGGTACCGAATATCAGTAAATCAGGGGTGGGGAACCTGATTCATGGAGAGCTGGGGTGGCTGCGGGTTTTTGGGATGACCACTCAATCAACCAATAACAGCGGGTCCCCAGGACTGGAGTTGAGAACCATTATTTTATTATTGGCTGATTGAGAGGTCATCCTATTAACCTGCACCCACACCGGCTCTCCATGGATCAGGTTAGTCACCCCTGCTCTAAATCAAAGAATGTGTATCTGCATGGTTTAATTTTTTAAAAAGAATTGACACAGCACATTTTGCTAATGATTAATGTTTGGATGAATGCATATGTTTAAAAATTACTATCAAAATAATTTGACTACAAATTTGGATAGAACTGGATGTGTCCAAGTGTGCTGACTTCTTCTGTTGCTCAGTTCCCACAGGAAAGAGAACAGTGGTGAGACTGACTGTCAGAACTGATGGAGAAATAAAGGAGGATCCTGAATTCAGCAGCCATCTGTTAATGCAGGTCAGTTCAGTTCTCTTGTGGAGCAACACAGAGAAAGACACAAGTCGCCAACAGATGCACAAGAAAATATTCTGTTGTGTTATTATCTAGTTACAGGAGAAACTGATCAGCGCAGGCATGTCAGAAGGCACCAAACTATCCTGGAGGACTCAACCTAATGGCCAAATCTTCCATCTAAAGGACTAAAGAGCATAAATGACAAGGTAATGGGTTTGTAACATCTACTTATAGAAGGTATAAGTAAATACATCCGCAGTGTTGTTGTAATTATTATTGCACTGTGAGCAGTTTGTCTAACATAATGCATCATATTACTTTCATTTAGCAGATGCTTTTGTCAAAAGAGTCATACAGCAAAGAGTCATACAGCAAAGTGTCTACATTATGTCATAAGCAATCAGTTTACAGGAGAGGTAACAGAATGGTGTATCTGTATGTTTTCCCTTTTCAGGGATCTGTGAATTTGGAAGAGACAAATCCTCAGTGTGTCTGGAATCTCAGAGGGATCTGAGGACCAGAGCAGCCCAATATGCATTCACTTGCACATTTCTTTGCATAACGCAAAGAAATGTTTGCTTTCTACTGAATTCATGATAATACAAGTGATCTTCTATCCTTCTGCATCTGCATAAGTGTAGGATCACACATGCACATATCACAGGGCCTAAATTCCAGGTGGCCTGAGACAAGGCCGAGCCTGGTACGA